TTTTATTCAGAGACTCAAACTAAGCAAAAATATGCAATTTGCAAATGCTGATATTTATATGAAATTCTGATGCTTGTGATGTAAATCACAGAGATCTTTATAACAGTACAGCAGATACTTACATAAAATTATCTAAATATCAGTCGTCGCTCTATATCTCCAATAATGTGTCTCAGTGAGATGAGATTGAAATGCTCCAAACATATAATGCAGTGATTGAGAGCTGAAGAAATAAAGGCTCCTCAGAAGATGTGAGATGTTCTGGAGGCTTGTGAAGATCATTCCTCCGCTGAGGAACAGTGAAAGTAAAGCTTCTGGAAACAAACGCTCCTCAAAAGATCCTGAGGATCAGATTTGAGACTCTAAAATTTGTCAAATTTTTGTCAGGCCGCCACAGACACGCGTTTCAACGAAAACTCAAGATCTTTGCAATTTAACATCACAAAGGGCTTTAGATCAGACTGACCAAATTTGGTGTTGATCTGATTACATTTCTGGGAGGAGTTCAGTCTATGGTTAAAATACAACGCCTGGAAATGCCAAAAATGACACAAAATTTGCAGAGAAAATTCTAAATAACTGACTTCCTGTATGATTTCAGATTTTGCTCCAAGAGACTTTTTTGTAGGTATCGGTGTGCTACATGTGTCTTCCGAATTTCGTACATGTACGTGAAACGTAGCTCGAGGGGCACTTCGTTGAAAGCGTATCGCTGTCGAGCCATTTTGCCACGCCCACTTCTGAAACCCATTATCAGACTTCTGGCGCGTGTGCAGTTTCATGAGTTTTCGAGCATGTTTAGGCCCTCAAAAATTAGATTAATTTTGGAGAATAATAATAATAAACTGAGCAATTCCAAGAGGGTGCAATGATACAGTAGTTTTATAAGGTTAATGTATTTTGTGGATGTAATATCACATATATAATATAGCAACATATTAAGCTGAAACCACATTCATTTGAAAAGCAAAAACGGTTTAAAAAAAAAAAAAGTTATTTTTTACAATAACCAGCAAACTGCAACAAATGTTTGTGAATTACGCTGCAGCACTTATTATTGCACTGATTATCCATTAACTGTGAGCAGATAGAGTGTCAATCAATGCACTGGAGAAAACGGCGAACATAAAAGTAAAGTAAAAAGTAAAGTTGCTTGTGAGATTTTCATATCAAGCAACCATATTTTTTTTTTAACTTAAAAAAAGAATCCCAAAGTTGCGTGTTATAAGTGGACTTGGCAACGCTGTTTGAATGACTCTATGGCGGGAAACACTCCGAGTGGCGGGTACTGGCTGAGTGACATATTAACTTCGAAAGAGGACGTGCAAAATCTAAATTTAGTTGTCATTATAAAACTAAATGATCAGTTGTGGCCACAACTAATCGGGAGAAGCCGAAAAAAAAGTTGTCAATTCATCTATACAGCAGACATATTTCATTCATATTCTCCTTGATGGTGAACCTAAACGTGATATCTTATTTCAGCAGTGGTGAATCACATTTTATTCAACACATAACCATCACATTATAGAGTTAAATATAGGATTCGATGATCACCAATCCTACAGCGGCTGTGATATCACCGTTAATGCCATGCAGTCCATTATTAACGGTTATTTCGCAGTTTTGTCATGTTTTTATTGAGCTGCTGACCTCCAGCGCCGCGTCCGAACACAAAGCCGTTTAAACCACTAACAGAAGAAACACGCCGAAACATCTTCACCAGTCATTCCGCCGTTCGCGTATCGCTGTCGAGCCATTTTGCCACGCCCACTTCTGAAACCCATTATCAGACTTCTGGCGCGTGTGCAGTTTCATGAGTTTTCGAGCATGTTTAGGCCCTCAAAAATTAGATTAATTTTGGAGAATAATAATAATAAACTGAGCAATTCCAAGAGGGTGCAATGATACAGTAGTTTTATAAGGTTAATGTATTTTGTGGATGTAATATCACATATATAATATAGCAACATATTAAGCTGAAACCACATTCATTTGAAAAGCAAAAACGGTTTAAAAAAAAAAAAAGTTATTTTTTACAATAACCAGCAAACTGCAACAAATGTTTGTGAATTACGCTGCAGCACTTATTATTGCACTGATTATCCATTAACTGTGAGCAGATAGAGTGTCAATCAATGCACTGGAGAAAACGGCGAACATAAAAGTAAAGTAAAAAGTAAAGTTGCTTGTGAGATTTTCATATCAAGCAACCATATTTTTTTTTTAACTTAAAAAAAGAATCCCAAAGTTGCGTGTTATAAGTGGACTTGGCAACGCTGTTTGAATGACTCTATGGCGGGAAACACTCCGAGTGGCGGGTACTGGCTGAGTGACATATTAACTTCGAAAGAGGACGTGCAAAATCTAAATTTAGTTGTCATTATAAAACTAAATGATCAGTTGTGGCCACAACTAATCGGGAGAAGCCGAAAAAAAAGTTGTCAATTCATCTATACAGCAGACATATTTCATTCATATTCTCCTTGATGGTGAACCTAAACGTGATATCTTATTTCAGCAGTGGTGAATCACATTTTATTCAACACATAACCATCACATTATAGAGTTAAATATAGGATTCGATGATCACCAATCCTGCAGCGGCTGTGATATCACCGTTAATGCCATGCAGTCCATTATTAACGGTTATTTCGCAGTTTTGTCGTGTTTTTATTGAGCTGCTGACCTCCAGCGCCGCGTCCGAACACAAAGCCGTTTAAACCGCTAACAGAAGAAACACGCCGAAACATCTTCACCAGTCATTCCGCCGTTCTGCTGCTGTTGCATTCTGGGAGTTGTAGTCTTTTCTCCATCGTGCTGTGTAGTTCCCGGAGGTTGTGTCCATCGCGTGTTGGTGTCCGTTCCGTTGATTCAGAATGAAGCGAAATCACGTAAACGTTAAATGGCTCATCTATGATCAACACGACTGATTGCTTAGTTAGCAAAGTAAGTGCTTAAATCACACCCCGTATTCATCCTGAATAACGTTACTCAGGTGAACGGAATATGGGGTGACGACTGACTGCTTAGTTAGCAAAGTAAGTGCTTAAATCACACCCCATACTCATCCTGAATAACGTTACTCAGGTGAACGGAATATGGGGTGACGACTGACTGCTTAGTTAGCAAAGTAAGTGCTTAAATCACACCTCATACTCATCCTGAATAGCGTTACTCGGGTGAACGGAATATGGGGTGACAACTGATTGCTTAGTTAGCAAAGTAAGTGCTTAAATCACACCCCATACTCATCCTGAATAACGTTACTCAGGTGAACGGAATTGCTGCGCTGACCACGGGTTCCTGTTTCTGCTGTAAAATCACAATACATTATTTAATCAGGAGTCACATTCAAACAATGACAACGTTTATTGTTTTTCTTAATTGGATAATAACTTCAGAGAAATTAGTTGAAAATCTAACTAATACACACAGTAGTTCTAGCACACAGTACTACAAACCCCATACTTCTGAGACACTTAAATGAATTTAAAAATATATATTTATTTACTGTGGAAAATTGATATAACATTAACTAATTTCTTTCCCAGCACCACAGAAATATAAACAGGATCGGGAAGACTAGATATCATAATGGCCGTTAGTCAATATATTTACAAAAGTATGACTATACTTGACAAAAATAAGATACTTTAATTGATAACTCTGAATAATTTGACACTAAAGTGCTTTTGTTCTGTTTACACAGATCTACTGTATGTACAGTAGAGGGCAGTATAGATATATTACTTAGAATGCTATTTATACCTCATTGTGTTGCGTGTTAAATTCTGTGGCTTTTTATTTTGCATTTTAATGTTATTTTATGTGAAAATGTCTTTTGACATTTTTTGATGAATAGAAAGAATTCAAAATCAACATTATAAATGTCTCTACTGTCACCTTTTGATCAATTTAATGCATCCTTGCTGAATAAAAGTATTAATTTCTACTCCTTTTTTTTTTTAATAGTTGTGTGTCACAGTTTTCACAAAAATATTAAGCAGCAAAAACAGTTTTCAGCATTGATAATAAGAAATGTTTCTTTTGGCAGTCTGACTAAACAATAAATAAAAATCATGGGTTCATTCTTCATATACAATATGCTATTTATACCTTATTATGTTGCATGTTAAATCCAGTGGCTTATGTTACTTTATGTAAAATGTTTGATCAAATAATAAGTCAAGAAAGAGATGGATTCATTCTTCAACCAGTGTGTGTGAGTGTGTGAGTGTGTGTGTGAGTGAGTGTGTGTGTGTGTGTGAGTGCGAGTGTGTGTGAGTGTATGTGTGAGTGAGTGTGTGTGTGTGAGTGCGACTGTGTGTGTAATAAAAGTATTAATTTCTACTCCTTTTTTTTTTATAGTTGTGTGTCACAGTTTTCACAAAAATATTAAGCAGCAAAAACAGTTTTCAGCATTGATAATAAGAAATGTTTCTTTTGGCAGTCTGATTAAACAATAAATAAAAATCATGGGTTCATTCTTCATATACAATATGCTATTTATACCTTATTATGTTGCATGTTAAATCCAGTGGCTTATGTTACTTTATGTAAAATGTTTGATCAAATAATAAGTCAAGAAAGAGATGGATTCATTCTTCAACCAGTGTGTGTGAGTGTGTGAGTGAGTGAGTGTGTGTCTGTGTGTGTGTGAGTGTGTGAGTGAGTGAGTGTGTGTCTGTGTGTTTGTGAGTGTGTGTGTGTGTGTGTGTGTGTGTGTGCGTCTGTGTGTGTGTGTGTGTGTGTGTGGGTGTGTGTGAGTGCGACTGTGTGAGTGTGTGTGTGTGTGTGTGTGTGTTCTGTTCTTCAGGAGTAGAAGGTCAGCACACTCTGATGGTTTCCTCGTATCAGGACGGTCGGCGGTAGATTCTTCGTGAGCACATCTAGCCAGGCCATGTACAGATGATCAGAGACGGAGCCTTTACGGGCGATGGGCATGCTCCTGTAACACACACATACACACACACACACACATGTTAGTCACGTGATCACGTACTGACACGCACATAATGCTGATGAGGATGTGACTTACACCACAATGAGTTTGGCTGCTCTCGAGCTCTCCTGAAGAAGCTCATTCAGACGCACCTGCAGCATCGTCTGCGGACAGTAAAGCACAGACGCTTATCTCAGACTCGTGTGATCGATCTTTTGGATTTAGTCCTTTGGGATGTGGAATAATAGATTTTTGTTTTTGAATGAAGTCTCTTCTGCTCACCACGGCTGCATTTATTTGATCAAAAATACAATAAAAATATGAAATATTATTACAATGTAAAACAGCTGTTTTCTATGTGAATCTCTGTTAAACTGTAATGTATTTCTGTGATGCGCAGCTGTATTTTCAGCATCATTCCTCCAGTCTTCAGTGTCACATGATCTTCAGAAATCAGTATAATATGCTGATCTGCTGCTCAAGAAACATTTCTGATTATTATCAATGTTGAAAACAGTCGTGCTGCACAATATTTTTGTGGAAACTGTGATACATTTTATTTTTCAGGATTCACAGATGAACAGAAAGTTCAAAAGAACAGCATTTATTTTAAATAGAAATTTTTGGAGCATTATAAATGTCTTTACTGTCACTTTTTATCAATTTAATGCATCCTTGATGAATTAAAGTTTAATTTCTTATTTTTTATGCCAAACTTTATATGAATATTTTTATGAATAGTAGTGTATCACGGTTTCCACAAAAATATTGTGCAGCACGACTGTTTTCAACATTGATAATAATCAGAAATGTTTCTCGAGCAGCAGATCAGCATATTATACTGATTTCTGAAGATCATGTGACACTGAAGACTGGAGGAATGATGCTGAAAATACAGCTGCGCATCACAGAAATACATTACAGTTTAACAGATATTCACATAGAACACAGCTGTTTGAAAGAGTAAAAATATTTCACTGTTTTTACTGTATTTTGATCAAATAACTGCAGCTGTGGTGAGCAGGATAGAGCAGCTGTAATGTTCTCTGGGATTCTACCTTCTCCTCGAAGGCGTCCAGCTCAGCATCCGTGATCTTCCAGGGATGTTCTTTCCTCAGAGCTTCAGCCTGCGACGTCTCCTTTGAACCCTCGTGCATCCGGAACGGCTCGATCATGTCCTCGAAGAGTTTCCAGCTGACACACACACACACACACACGCGCACACGCACACACAGACACACACACACACATTCACACACACACACACTCACACACACACACACACACTCACACACACACACACACACTCACACACACACACACACACTCACACACACACACACACACTCACACACACACACACACACTCACACACACACACACACACTCACACACACACACACACACTCACACACACACACACACACTCACACACACACACACACACTCACACACACACACACACACTCACACACACACACACACACTCACACACACACACACACACTCACACACACACACACACACACACACACACACACAGACAGACACACACACACACAGACAGACACAGACACTCTCACACACAGACACACACGCAGACACAGACACACACGCAGACACAGACACACACACACACACACGCAGTGAGAGAGTGCATTCGGAGCACGTGGAGCGTGTCAGTGAATGAAATGCGGATTAATTGTGTGTGTTTTTCATTCACACCTCTCTGCGCTGGGCCTGACGTTGACATCAGTGATAACTTTGATGTCAGCACATTTGATCCTGAACTTCCTCAGGAGCTCCTGCATTCTGACAGACAGTTACGGAGAAAAACACACGGGTTACAGCCAGGTCAGCAGGTGTTTCATTAGAGGCATCAGTGTCTGTCTCTGTGTGTATGCTGACATACTCCTCTTTGTCCTGTTCGATGCGTTCAGGCTGCCCGGCGATAAAGATCCTGAGTCTGCAGTCCCTCCATTTTTTTCGTGTTGTCAGAATATGAGGCAGAAGAAGCGTGAGACCTGCAGAACATCAAGAAGAAGCATGAACGTCACATTTCAGACCTGACGGAACAGAAGACGGCAGGAGGACTTGCGCTCACCTCCGTCATCAAACAGCCACCAAACGTCAATCGTCCCTTTGTCCTGTTTCTTCTTGAACTGGCTGCTGGCCTCCACCAGACGCTGGTTCATCTTCGCCAGATCTGATGTCTGAGGAACATCCAGAGAGACTGAGGAAGGAAAGCAGAAAGCCCTGAGCTCTGCTGGACACACAGGTGACATTAAACTCAAAATCCAGACTGTGTTTAGTGTTGATGTGTTTGAAGTGGACTGCAGAACTAGTGTGAGTCTTGTGATCGGAAGGGTTTGAGAAGCACCAAATTCAGTGCATCCAAAAATAATGTCAACTCCAAAGTCATGCCAAAAAATCTCTGAATTGAATCGCAAAAGATGCAAAATATTAAATCAAGAAGCATCTGCACTGAGGTTTTTTCACAGATAAATGCACTTTTCTGAACCACTTTTTAAATGATTTTATCTGGTCTTTGGGATATTTTGCCTTAATTTTGAGTAATATATTTATTTTTCATATTTTGAAACCTGTTGTTATTATAGTTGATGTTTCAAATAAAATAAACGTTTACTTATTATAGTTAACTAAAACCATTAAATATAGTTTTGTTGCTTGAAATGAAATAAGCATGTATTGAAATGAGTAATATATATATATTATTTCAGCTAGTTGCCAAGGAAACATTTCTTATTTTCATTTAGTTTAACTTGATGTACTAAAATGACTAGAACGGAAATAAAAATTTATAAAACTTTATAGACATATTAAAAAATAAACATAAAATGCTAAATAAAATGAAAACAGAAAATTTAAAATAATTCAAACTATTAATAATATCTCAATGCCACTAAAATAACACTGACCTGTACTATATTTCTTTAAAATAAATGTTTGTTGTCTAATGCAAATACACTCATATTTCTTTAATTGTGGCTCAAGTGATTCGTTTGTAGCCACTAGATGTGCTTTATTAGACCGCAGTGATTACAGACATCAGCACAAAAGACCAACAAATTAGAGTTTAATGAGTAAAAATAATTCAAACTATTAATAATATCTCAATGCCACTAAAATAACACTGGCCTGTACTATATTTCTTTAAAATAAATGTTTGTTGTCTAATGCAAATACACTCATATTTCTTTAATTGTGGCTCAAGTGATTCGTTTGTAGCCACTAGATGTGCTTTATTAGACCGCAGTGATTACAGACATCAGCACAAAAGACCAACAAATTAGAGTTTAATGAGTCGTTTGGACTACGAGCGCCTGCTAAATGACGCGTGACCGAGTGATTGAATCTGTTTCAGAAGAGGCAGTGAAGATGAAGATAACGGTGAGCGCAGTCTGCAGCGTTTGAGATGTTAATGGAGTTCAGGGCACTGTGCTCCGTGAGACCAGACTATTAGATTATAACAGCAGACGGTTTCACAGAGGCAGGTCTAATCAGCCAAAAGCTCTGAGAACCCCGTCAGAGAGAGAGAGAACGAGCGGCTGTACCTTTGCTGGTCAGCTCTTTTTTGGAGGTTTTCTTGGACCTGTTGAAGAACCCTTTGCGTCCCTGTGTCTGAAAGTCATTCTCCTCCATCTCCAGCGCCTGCTGCTCCATGATCATGCGCTCCATTTCCTCTGACAATCACACAGCATTACATATTCATCATCTAGCACTGCATTAGTGTCTCAGCAATGGATGCTCTGCAGTGAATGGGTGCCGTCAGAATGAGAGTCCAAACAGCTGATAAAAACATCACAATAATCCACAGCACTCCAGTCCATCAGTTAACATCTGGAGAAGACAAAAGCTGAAACAAATCCAGCATTAAGATGCTTTTAACTAAAAGTTCACTGGAAGCGTTATTATGGATTATGGACTCCGCTTTTGTCTTCTCCAGATGTTAACTGATGGACTGGAGTGCTGTGGATTATTGTGATGTTTTTATCAGCTGTTTGTACTCTCATTCTGACGGCACCCATTCACTGCAGAGCATCCATTGCTGAGACACTGATGCAGTGCTACATTTCTCCAAATCTGATGAAGAAACAAACTCATCGTAATCTTGGTTGACATTTTCAGCACATTTTCATTTTTGGGTGAACTGTTTTAACCCTTTATCTCGTCTGTTTCATGTCTTTAACACAGTAATGTTGTGTAGTGTTTATCTGAGCATTACACTGAACGACACGTCTTGTTATTCTGAGAGTTTGTTGGTGCTGTTGTACCTTCTGCTTTGAGGATGTGAGAGATGTCCATCCCCTGACTGATTCTCAGTATCACGGTCCCGTTCTCGAAATCAAATGCATCGCTGCGGGGAGAACAGAACCGTGTGTGTGAGAGAGAGAGAGACGGGCAGGTGATTCAGACAGACAGTTTGAGGACTCACTGCAGAATTCCCACGTAGCTTTGAACTTCCTGTGGTTTGGCGGTTCTCCAATCACGCTTGAATCCCAACATCACTGTGTTCGGCTTCATCCTGCCGAGTCCTGACGCCTGCACACACACACACACACACACACACATACACACACAGACACAGACAGACACACACAGACAGACAGACAGACAGACA